ACAGACTGATGCTTGTCATTAATTTTGCACCAGTGGATATTACTGAGATTTCTTTGGAGAAGCCATATGTCCATGTCTTCCTCATCTCTATCATTCTGTCAAAGGTCTGGAGTAAAACCTTGAATCCTAGAGCTCGTCTCTCTTGGATGAACTTGATCCCACAAAGAGACTCTTTAAAGTCTTGAAAATTTTGATCTTCATTCGCTTCCACCTTGATTTTCTTGGATTGGATTCCAATTTGAACTATATGATGACTGGGGAAACATTGAAATTTCTCCCATTCTAGTGTTGCAAAGTAGATTTTGACAAATACTACCCCTTGAGCTTTGGTGCTAGTTTTGAAGTCTTTCACTCCTTAGCGTATAACTTCTGGAAGTTATGAAACTTCTTCAAGTTATGAAACTTCTTCATTATCCTTTGAGAGATCAATACAGTTTACAAAACCGTAATTGAATAACTCCTTTATTGCTTTTGGGTTTACAGCCTGCATGAAATTAATTCTAGGATAAATCCCTTGATGGATAAGATGGCAATTCTCAGTGGACCTCATTGAATATGCCATTTTACAAACTTTGAGGTATTCCTACAGATATTCTTCATTCATTGTCATTTTTGACAAGGTGTTATTTATTGTAACTTTCTTTTCTTTCTTTCCTAAGTAATCAAGTCGAAAGTTATGGCTTTCGGCATTTTGAATAGCCAGTTTTTCAGCTTGAGACGTTGATATTTCTGAGGGAGAGTATTTGACATAATAGTCAAACTTCCTTAAACTTTTTCCATGTAATCCTATTGAAGGATCACCTTGTTCAAATTTTTCTTTTAACTTTTGTTGGGAGCTTTTCTTGGTCATCTGGCTAGATTCCTTAAAGCTGATTCCGATAGTAGTAATTACTCCAAAACTTATTAATTTTTCTATCAACTCTTTGACCTCTTCAAGGGCATCTTGTCCTTTATTTAATAACTCATGGTCTTTAATAATTTTTTCTTGACCTTCATCCATAAGGTTATGGCCTTCATCAATTATTTATTGGCTTTCAATCATTTTTTCTTGGCCTTCTCTTATTTGGTTATTGCCCTCAATGAGTATCTTTTTACCTTTGACAATTAGGTCTTTCTCTTTATTTTGGAGTTTCAAGATTACATCCATTAGCTCCTTCTCTGCTCAAAAAATTTGCAAGACAATAATTAGTTCCTTTGATATGTTCAATTTCAAAATCATATTTAGCAAAGAAAGTTTACCATCTATTTAATCTTTTATATTCTGGTGTTAAAGATGATTTATTAAAAATAAATCCCTTAACTTGAGTATTGTTAGTTCTGACCTTAAAATGTTTTGGTAATAAGAAGAAACTAAACTTTTTTATTCCATTTTTAATAACCAATAACTCTCTATGATTTGAATGATATCTAGTTTTTACATCTTTAAATGTACCACTAGCATATATAAACTTTTTCTTGAGAATTTTTTAAAGCTGCTCCCTAATAAAAATCTGAGGCATTAATTCTAAAATTAACTCTTTATCTTCTTTAGGCAATTGTATCCTAGGAAGTTTTTTGCAATATTCTTTTATTCTATTCACATGATTAGTGTAATCAATTTTCCATTGTTGGCACCTGACCCTTCGAGTCAACTAGTAGCCTGTCAGCTTGAGGTGCATTCCCCCTCTCTTATGGGCGGGTTTCGAGCCCGCCCCTTGACAACTTGTTCAAAAAAGAAAAGAAAAATTTTTTTCCATTGTTGATTTTCCTTTTTCCTGAGCAACTTTTGCAAAGGATGTCTTAATTGAACTAGGTTTTGAATAAACTGCTCTGCATAATTGAGTATTCCTAGAAACCTTCAAATTTGTTCTTTAGATTCTAATTTATCTGGGAATATCGAAATATTTTCACTAATGTGAGGTTGTAATTCTATTCTTGTGGAATCTATTGTTCATCCAAGGAATTCAATTTTGGTTTTTCCTATCTTTGCTTTCTTTTCAGAAAGTAATAATCTATGTTTCTTGCATAAATATGCAAATTTCTTAAAAAGACATAAATGTTCTTTCTCTTTATCAGAGAAGATTAGTATGTCATCTACATAAACTATGCAAAATTTTTGTGTAATCCCAACTAGCTATCCCTCAATTCCTAAGATATAAAACTGATTTCTTTTCCTTTATAAAAATGTGAATTAAGTTTTCAATATATATGTATAGTCTGTTGTGCAAAATAAAATAGAGATCAACTGCAATCTTGCAAATAAAGTGCAGAAAAATAAAAAGAAAGGGAAGAGAATATCAAGCTGTGATTTATAATGGTTCCTCCAACTCGGAGTATGTCCACTCCCCAAGCCTCCTTGCTCGAGAGTTCAATCTACTAGAAATCTCTTGCTTACAGGTGCAAGATTAAACCGGAACAAACTTTTGCTTGCGGGTGCAAGATTAAACCCTCACAAGTGAATCTCAACTCACTCAACCCCTTCAAGGATTATCCCAATCCAAAAAGAATACAAAACCCTTGTAAGACAATTAACCCAAAAGCTCACAAGAAGAGAAGAAGAAGGAGATCCAAAACAGTTTCAGACTCTGTTTTCTGTAGCAGTTCGTCCTTCTTCCTTCCAACAGATCTGATTTTTTATGTCCATTTAATAGTTGGTTAGGAGCCTCGCAATTAAAACCCATTTAACCTTTCAAAGCCACCTCACAATTGCCCCAATTAGGTTCCACCTTATTCTACTAACTTAGACTTGACTTTGGAAAGAGCTCAGACAATGGTTCCCCCAAGGCCCATTAAGAATAAGAATAAACGGATAGATGAGCTGTCAAAATTTAATCTTCCAGAATTTTTTGCTTCGAAGCCAAAAATAATGGTTCAAACCATTTTTGGAAAACAAAAGTTCGGGATTGATTCGAACCAAAATAAATTGGTTTGAACCCAAAACTCTGAACAAGGAGAACATGAATTAGTTCTAATCATGGGGAAAGATTAGAAACCTTGGATTAATTTTCATGCACACTTAGCACAAAAATAGATTAAACTCTTTTGAATCGTGGTTTTAAATCATCATCAAAATACAAAGAGAACCTAACATTTTGGATGGAAGAAAATACATTATTCATTCTTCTTTGAAATATTTGAGGCACATTTTTTAATCCAAAAGGTATTACTAACCACTAATAGTGTCCTGTAGGGGCACTACAGGCTGTTAGTGGGATACTGTCAAAAGTTAGCTTAATTTACCAAAATCCTAATTTGCAATCAAACTCTGAATACATTTTCTTCCCCTAATGCTATTGATTAGAGTTTTTTTATGTGGAAAAAGTAACCATCGAATTTAGTTTTGCTATTAAGTTGTTTATAGTTGACAACCATTCTTGCTTTTCCTTTTTTTAATTCATTATGATTTCTTACCATAAAGGCAAGATTGCTATGCGGATTCTTAGAAGCCTATATAATTTTCTGGCCATTAACTCTTGAATTTGCTTATCAAATTCTTCTTTATCTTCAGGGTTATACCTCATTGGATTTACTCTAATGATAGTTTTTGGGTCTATCAATTCAATTATGGCATAAGTTTTATCAACTCCCCATAGTTTTATAGGATCTTCTCCATAATTACTTAATTCTTTTGAGATAGATCCTAAGGTTATTTTTTCTTGTGTTTTTTCATTATTCCACAATGTTAACACTGGTTTTTTAATCTCTTTTGATCGAGTTTTTGTATTATCTTTACCACATTGGCTGCGAAAATTTAATGGTTCTATTGCTCTAGTATAAGCATTATAAATTCTGGAGGCATAAAGCCAATATCCACAAAGTGTATAAAATTTTACATATAATGCAGTTTGAATATATTACTTGAATTGACTTAGGAAATTGATTCCTAATAGAATATCATTCCCATGATTGTTACTTTCATTTTATATTTAATAATGCTTGCATCTATAGTTACACCTTTCATCGTTTTAGAGGTGTTTCTCTGGTAATATTTTGGGAATACAGTAGTTTTGGCTAAACATATCCCAGACCCTGTATCTATAAAAGCATGAAAGAATTCTATTTTGTATTCTTCATATTTGATTCCAATGGATATGTATACACTATAGAAACTAGTATTCATAGTATCGAGATATAACCACTTCTTTTCCACTTAAGGTAATCTTTAGACAATGTTCTTAGATATTATATGGCTATACTGATATTAAAAACGTATATCCATGCATTAATTCTATACTTGCAGTCATTTATGTTTCAGCATGAGCTGTTATAGTGATTTCATGTTGTATCTTATTATTATCCTCTATTTTAAAAGGTACTTTAGTATATTCATGTACTATGGTCACTGCACCATTAAAGATGGTCACTGCACCATTAAAGATGGTCACTGCACCATTAAAGATGGTCACTGCACCATTAAAGATGGTCACTGCACCATTAAAGTTGTAGTATGTGTATGGTTTAGTGAGTTCAAATCTTGGTAGGTGTGGGATCATATCACTATGGATATGTGTTACTCCTGCTCTTGTATCTATTAGGATAGAAATGTTATGCCATTTTTTCCCATCATAATAATCTCCTTTTATTTTGAAATGTCTAGAAGGGATTTTTAAGGTGTTTAACACCACCTCGTGTTTAATACCACCTCATGTTTTATACTAATTGTTCTAGTTAAGACCTCTTTATCTTTCTTAGGATAGCGTATAACTCCTAAGTCTACACTATTTTTATGGCTTGATTCAGGTTCTGTTTTGACTAATAGTTTTCTTGACTCATATGCCATTAGTCTAGGTGTTTCTCTTTCTCCTATTATGAGTGGTTTTTCACTAATGTCTATGTAATACCCCGAAATTTTGTGATATTTTAGCATTCAGTTAAGGACTAAGTTGTGGAAAGACATTGTTTTGGGCTTAATAGCCAAAATGTCCAAACTTGAGGGGCTTAAAGAGGGGAAGATTTTAGGATAAGGATCAGCTTCTTTTCTTTTTCTTTTTCTTTCTTTCTTTTCTTCCCAGCCTTGCCCGATTCTGCTCTTCTTCTCCTTTCTTCCCGCTGCAGCCACCCGAAAGAAAAAAAAGGGGGAACCCAGCCATGCCTTTGAGAAACCGGTGAGATAAGCTTGGTTTTCTCCTTCCTTTCTTGCTCTAGAACACACCTAGAACCCAGAAATCTTCCCCCCTGCTGGAAAAGCCGGATCTGCCCTGCTCTGCTTTGTCCTTCCGTCGGCTGCTCTTAATTGTGGGTGATTTCTCTGCATTTTTTTTCGGTAAGAACAGCCCCTAATTCCTTTGTTCTTGCTTGAATTGGCTTGGGTTAACTTTGATTGCTCTTATTCCCTTCAATTTTTGCAAGCCCCGTGAATTGCTCCTGCACTTG